TAAAATAAATGACAAAATTTCAAAAAGATTTGCCTGATGGACTTGTACATTTATCTAAGGCTATATTATAAGAAAATAAAATAAATTTTATTAATATAAATTTTTATATTTACAAATATAAAAATTATTAAAATTTACCTAATGTTAAATTATTTTCTTCATCAAATATCTTATAGCATTTTACATTAACTTGTAAAATTTCTTGTATTAATAATGTATTAATAATTGTTTTTCGATCTGGTAGATTATAATTTGGCTAAAGTTGCTTGAGCAATTCAATGATAAATGGATATTTAATTAGATGCCATAGCAAGCTACAACATATAAAAGCTTTAATAAGAGCTGTATCAATAATATTTTTTCGTTCTCTACTTAATTCTGAATTTTCATAAAATTTGACTAAAGTTGTTTGATCATTCTTAACTTGACTTTTTTTACGTTTAGAATTGATAGCATTAAGAGAAGATATTTCGCATATTTCTACTATATATATGACAGCTTCACAAATTGAATGGTCTATCTTTGAACAATTAATTATATGTTTTTTCATTATTCTGATCTTTACAAGTTGAAAAGTTTGGTCACATGCTAAACATATTGTAACATAATATCCTTTATCTAATCCATCCTCTTATTCAAAAATCTCTAAATAAGTTTTTTTAGACGTTTACTAGAATTGGTAGACTTTAATTTTTTTGAAGTTGAAGTTTTGTTATTATCAGACATTTCAAAAGGAAAAGAGATTATCATTATTATATAATCAGGTATCTAGTATAGTGATCATTTATAATAAAATTTAGTTTTAGAATTTGGTAAAAGTTTAAGGCATAGTTAGCATTTGATCGCAACTAAGTCTAATTTTTTAGCTGTTGGCCGATTTAACCAATTGACCAAAATCAGCGGCCAAATTACCAATCGGCTAAATTGGCCAAATATCACATGACTTTGTCAATTTTGGTCACAGTTTATTTGCAAATTGCAATTTATTGAATTTACTGCAAAAAATACTTGATGTCTCCAATGTTCAGGACATTCAAATTTCTTGCAAAATAGCAAAAAATTGACTTCTCTAACGTTTAGAATATTCAAAATTACAAAAATTAACGCCTCTAACATTTAAAACGTTAAAATTCTTGTAAAATAAAATGTTTCAAATGTCAAAAGCGTCAACTTTGCAATTTTTAACATCTTTAACATCAAAGACGTCAAATTTTTTTTGTAATTAACCAATTATATTTCTATTTCATTTGTGAGCTATTGTATAAAAAAAATTTTTTGGTTAGCCAAACTTAAAATAAAATTTGGCCATTTTGGCCATGACCAAATGACCAAACGGTCATGGTCAAATACTAGCCAAATGGCTAAATGCCAATACTAGTTTAGGGTTATAGAATAAATTTTAAAAAATCAGAATATGTTTCAGATATCAAAAATAGTTTTGGGATTCAGTAAAAGTTTTGATTATAGGTCAAGTTTCGATTTGTATATACTGAAACCTGAAACTTTTAAAAATGCTTTCAGAGATTTCGATACTCATATTTAGTGGCAACCAAAGATAAAATTAAAAATGAATTAATAAAAGCAAAAGAGAGATTGGAAAGGTGAAAGATTAGAAGAATGGGAAAATAAAGAGAAGATGTTGTATGAATTAGTGGTTGAATTGAAAACTGGAAAAGATAAGATAACTGGGTTAAAGAAAGAATAAGAGTGGTTGAAGAGAAGAAGTGGAGAAGACCAAGTAATTAATATTAATTTACAAAATAAATTAGCAAAAGATAAATATTACTATTAGTGTTTTTTCTTTGGTTATTTATTATAATTAAATATGCAAACCTATTTACCTTTTTTTTAATTAAATAATCTTGACAAAAAAAGTGTTGAATAATAAAATAGAAAATGAATTTAGATTTTCACCAATTTTTATATAAGAAAATCTTTTTTACCAAATTTTCACTTTTATATAACCTTAAATAAATATTATCTTGTATCACATCCTTTACCTTTTGTTTTTACAATCATTATTATTACAATCAGTTCTTTAGGGTTAAAAAATTTATATGTACTAAATAAAATTAAAAAGTATTAACTATATTATTTATATTAATTGCTATACTAATCTCAACCCTGATTATAAGCGTTTAATAAAAATGAAGGTAAATTAAAGGCTAAATTTATAGTTGATTTTAAGAAATATATTAATGTTAGATAGTTATTTTAATAAGAATAATAAATCTAAGTTAGTACTCTATACTGTATAAATATTTTTATATTTAAACCTTTTTTATTGATTAAAATAAAGTATAACTTGAAAAATTATAAAAACATTATAAACTTCATTATAAGTTAAATTAAATAAACTAATTGAACTATATTAATATAAATAACTTCATTTTTTTTTTGACTTTTAACAATATTGTACTGTCACAAGTTTTATTAAAAAGATTTATAATTTAAAATACACTAATTAATAAAGTAAAAAGAATACAAATAAGAAATATAAACTAAAACTGCAACTATCTTTCATAGTTCTATTTCAAGCCTGTTTGAACTGATTAATCACTAGTGATCCCTTTTAGACATCTAAAAGAATCATTTCTAATAAGCAACTCTTTAATGAAAGTAGACAAATAAAAGTGTCAATATCATAATACTTTTCTTAAAATTGTCTATTAATCCCCTATTTTCTAAAAATTTACACTTTTCAAAAATAACAAATCTAAGATTAATGTTTAATAAAAAGAAAGGTTAAAAAGACATACAACTTTAACAAGTTCCTAGCTAAGTTGGTTAGTTAATTTCAGGTTACTGCGACCTTCTAACATAGGAGTAATCATATCACTAAGTTCTGTCAAAGGCTCTTCAGTACTCTTCAAACTTTCATGCTAAGATGTCTGTTAATTCAAATTATAACTGTCAACAAGCAGTGTACAAAGCCCAAATTACACAGTTATGAGAAACTAAAAATCCTATTAAGATTAACAAACTATATGACGTTAAAGATCTTTAAAAGAGTATTGTTATTTATGAAGGTAATTGGATAATCATTACATAAAATTTGTTTATGTTTAAAGTTATATCAATTCTGATCATCATTTTAGATATCTCTTGATGTTTACTTTTTGTAGGCAAAAAAGAAAAAAAGGAAAACAAATAAGAAAATAGTTGAGAGAAGTAGTGAAAAAAATATTTTAATTAAAAAACATCATCATTTGAACTAGCAATAGACTATTTTTTAGATGAGAGTATAGGAATAAAAAGAGGAAAAAGTTTGAATATGGAGTTTATTTTTTACTCATAGGCTAAGCTGTGATTACCCTTAAATGTACACGTTTTTTATGTAAAAATTCTTGAGCAAAATCTAATGAAAAAGAGTTCAATATATTTAACATAGATAACTTCATTAATACTATTATGATTGCTTCTGTCATTTTCACCTCTTTGATCATTAGACTGCAATTAAAGAAGTTATGGCTTCTTTTGACAATGATCAGTGAAGTTATCTATAATTGTCTTCTACTTAAAATATCTCATCACCATTGGTCTCATTGGGAAGCTCTAATTAAGAAGAATCTAATAGTAGTATTTTCACCAAAATATAATCACTAGGTCAAAGGTCATTTTCATTTAACACCATGTATTCAGGATACTTTGAAATTTTTCTGTGTAAAGATTACTATTTGTCACCTTATTTGTCATATGATTAATTTCGACCAAGTTCTATAATGCCAGTCAAAAGGTAAATATCTTACCAATTTATCGTTTGTTGACAAGCCTAAAATATCAATATTATTAGAAATTATTTTAAGAAAGCAGAAAAAGGTTGCATACTCATTGACATTGAAATGTTTATAAAGACATCAACAATTCACCAAACATTAAACATAATTTTATTAAATAATGCGGGTTGTTGATTGGACTCTTTTTTTTGCTTCTTGCTACAAAATATACTTAAGTTGCGTAGTAAAAACACGTGATAAATATAACTTGCGATCATTAATAAACCGATTTATTAAATTATTTTACCCCCTCATCCAGTATAAATACCTAATTAAAATAATTATTAATTACAAAGATCAAAAAAAAAAAAGAGGGGGAAGGGAAAACTATTTTAATTTAGTAAAAACTAACATAATTAATTTTAATTCAAATTCAAATGATATTTTTTACATAACTAATCAAATCAATAACAGAAAATCTTTGAAACTTTATAAAATGAAATGAAAAAATATTTTCTTCCGTTATTTTATTTTATTTTTAAAATCCTGGTGGTATTAAAGCTCCTCGAGGCTGTGTTTGATTTTGACCTGATGGTAGATGTTGTCCTGGTGGTAAAGGTTGTCCGGGTTGTCCATACGGATCACCTTGATTTAACTATCAATATAACATCGAATTTGAAAATTTTTCTTAAAACAAAAAGGAAAATACCAAATACCAAATAAAGATATAAATTACCATTTGTTCACTTTCCATTTGATTGATCGCACTTTCTCTACCTATCTCAACTAACAACGGAAAAACTACGAGTAAAGCTGAGGTGGTCAATACCCAAGCTCCATTTCCTAAGAAACGAGCACCTCTCACGCCAAAACTCATCATAGATGATATTTTATATGATATTGAATCGCGTGTATCGGTCGGTATAATATCACGTAACGCACGAATTCTTTCAATCCATGTTTCCTCCTCAAAATCGTCTTCAGAGTCTGAGTCATCGGTTGTAAAATTTGAATCCTCAGAGTGATGATCGTCGTCATAGTCTTCAGTTATCTTAATTAACAAGAGAAATAATTGTCTAAAAGAGTTGACGTGAATAAACTTCCATGAAAGTCAAAAGTAATAGTACCTCTTCAACTTTAACCATTATGAAGAAAAGAACGTATTAGTAAAGATAAAAAAAAAAGGTGGATGATGTATGATAATAAAATGATCTGATCACGTGAAAATACGATCATCTATTGAAAAAGATTTTGATGATAATTGATAAAAAATTTTACTAAAAAATGCAAATTTATTTTCGTGCTCAACACTTTGCTTTTAGAAAACAGATTTCTTTTGCCGGATCTTTTTTACAACCTTTAGTACAAATTAGAAATTCATCGAGTGATAATAATGCCGAAGAAAAGCCAATTTTGCTGGTTGGACAACATGACGTGGCAGTTATACAAGAAAGTGAAGTAGACCTTGCCTCAAAAAACGATATGGAGAAGATTCGAGATCAGAGTTTACAATATAAATTGAGAGACAAGGTTTTGTATTTCAATTTTAAATTAATTTAATTTATGGTCTTAAAAGGATTTTTGTTAGTTGTTTTAAACCCTTCTCCTTTTTGTACTACTACAAGACACGACAATTTATCGACCTGATGTATGTTATGGTTAAGGGAGGTGCCGGGGGTGATGGCTGTGTTGCTTTTAGTCGGGAAAAGTATGTTTCAAAGGTACCCCCTTCAGGTGGTAATGGAGGGCGGGGAGGGAATGTTATCTTTGTCGCGTCATCAAATCATTCTTCATTGCATTCCATTAGCAAGAACATCACTGCGGGTAGAGGTCATAATGGCGAAGGGAATATGAAACATGGCTCAGCTGGTAAAGATGTTATAATACAAGTTCCTTTGGGAACCATTGTTAGAGAGGTTGACCCATTATTAAATAAAAGACAATCAAAAAAAATTAATGAAGATCAAATAAATGACGAAAATCTTGACGAAGAAACGAAACTTGCAAAAAAGAGAGTAGCGACTTGGGTTCATTACCCTCGATATAATGAGAAAAATCCTTTAAGTTCATTCTTTATCGAAGCCGAAAAAATGATTGAGCAAGATGAAGGGTATAACAGGGTTCTTAAAGCTAAGGATGCAAATAATAATCTTTTTTTGGATCTTTCCGTGCCAAATGGTCAATATATAGTTGCACATGGAGGTTTAGGCGGAAAAGGAAATCCACATTTTTTAACGAATGCAAATCGTTCTCCAAAGTATGCGACAAAAGGACAGGAAGGGCAAGTAAAATATCTTGAATTAGAACTGAAAGCAATAGCTGATGCAGGATTGGTGGGCCTACCAAATGCGGGAAAAAGTACTTTCCTTACGGCTGTTTCTAACGCTCATCCAAAGATCGCACCTTATCCTTTTACAACTCTCAATCCTTACATTGGTACGGTGGATTATTCTGATAGGTTTCAATTAACCGTTGCTGATATCCCTGGAATAATCCAAGGTGCTCATAAAAACATCGGATTAGGACATTCCTTCCTTAGGCATATAGAACGTTCGAAAGTTCTTGTTTATGTCGTTGATTTATCAGGAAATCAACCATGGGAAGAATGGTATATTTTACAAAGTGAATTAGAAAAATATCGACCGGGACTTACAAAACGTTCATCTTTGATTGTTGCAAATAAGGCAGATATAACTGAAAAATCCAAAGAAAATTTTCCGATTTTTGAAGCAAAAGTTAAGGAAATGTTTAAAGAAGAAATTGTAATCGTACCAGTTTCTGCGAAATACAAAAAAAATATCGTCAAAGTAACAACATTGTTAAGACAAATGGTTGAAAAAAGAGAATTAATTACCTGTAAATAAACAATGTAGCAATTTTATTTAAAATATTCTTTATTAATAAGTTTCCCATTATAAAATCGTTCTAACGATACAATACAAATTGACTTATATAATATTAATTTAAATCGAAAATTCTATAAGCAAAAAAAAAAAAAAAAAAATTCTCATAAAAAATAATTGAAAATCGCAAATATTTGAAATTTGACTTTATATCGATTAATTTTTAAAACAAATAATATCGAAATGCATCTCGTTAAAAATTTAATATTTATTGTATCTTATCCAAAGGTCTAAAAAAAAAAAAAAAAAAAATTATTATTTTGACAAATAAAAAAAAAAAAAGGTTCGTAAAAGAAACATAAACTTAAGTTTTCTTACCTATTAAAACCTCCACGTCGATTCATGTATTGACGATATTGTCTTTGTTTTTTAATGCTAACTGCAGCTATATCATTACCCACAACTCTCTTACCCTGATTGTAATAATATATTTAAATCAAAAAGCGTTATTATTAAATTAAAAATTAATAAAGAAAACTTTGAAATACTTACTTTAGTGGTGTTAAACCCTGCGATACCCATGGCTTTCATTAGTGCTTGATCAGGATCTTCATCTGGATCTATAAGCATTATAGAATTATCTGCTGATTTACATTAACAGAAATAAAGTTATTAATTTCGATCTTGAAATATCTAACGGATGAAAATTTAATATGAACCTGAAGAATTATTCATATCCTCTCTCCTATATTAACGAATGAAATTAATGAATAACGAACGAAATTAATCTTAAAAAAAAAAAAAAAAGGAGATTGAATAACGTTATACGGACCTCGGTGAACCCGAACGCGATTTAATCTTTCGATCACGGTCAAATCTTTCATCTAGATGATAAATATATATTAATATAAATTGGAGATTTCGAAGAAATCAAGGATAGGTAATTTTTTTTTACCCTTTCGATCTCGTTCGCGTTCAGTTCCACGAGGACTTACAACAGCCCGATCTATAGTAATATAGGGAATAAGGAAATAAACGTGAAATATTACGAATTAAATTATCATCTTGCACAAACAACTCTGAACGCATACCTTATCTTATTCAATGCAGCAGAGACTATACATATTCATACGGTTTGCAAAGCTGTTTTTTTTTTATTTTTTTTTTTTTTTGTAAAACACAATATAGGGTTGCTCCCAAAGGTACAGCAACTCACCTAACTTTCGTCCTACATAACTGGAACCAGCCCTATATTGTGCCATTTATATCTCTAGGTTATATGTTGTTAGTAAAACGCGCTCATAAATCTTACCTCTTCTGTTTAAAGGAGAGCGAGAGCGAGATCTGTATCGAATATTTCTTTCCGGAGTTCTACGACGGTCTCTGCGATCACGATCCCTGACTCTCTCTCTTCCGTGTGGTGACTTTGACTTTTTTTCTCGTCGATCGTACTTGTCTCTATCTCTGTCTCTGTCTCTGTGACTCTCTCTCTCTCTATCTCTGTCCCTGTCTCTTAAATCTCTTTCTCTGTCTCTTTCTCTGTCTCTGTCTCTGTCTCTAAGTGGTGACCGAGATCTGCGACGATCGTGATAAGGATCTTCTAAGGGTCTATCAAGATCGCGATACGGGTCCGTATAATGATCTCTATTACGATCTCTGTCTCTCTGTGTTTGATGTCTACGCGAGTAATCTTGATGAGACGGGTTAGACATTTCTTTAAAATACAAACAATAAAAAAATTTATTTTATGTAAATGAAGTTTGCTGTAATACAATTAGATCTTAGATGTGATTAATAATGTCAATTATTTTTATATATAAAGGGTGTTTTATTAATCTTAACCAAAAACCAAATTCGTGAAAAAAAAAAAAAAAACAAAAAAAATGCTTCGATTTTCTACCAAAGTTTTTCGTGCCTCAAGAAATGTATGTTCAAAATTCCTTTATTATAATCGTACTAGTTAATTTATTATCTTTTTATCAAATTTAATAAAATTCAATTTCTGTTAATTTGTAGTCGTCACGTGGTTATGCTACGGCCAGCAATGTCAACGTAAATTTTTTAATAATTATTGATCGTATGCTATTTATTAACATTATTTAATTGTATCTGATCAATCAATGTTATAGCAAGTTGTTATAATGTCGGCTGTTAGGACGCCTGTTGGCTGTTTTAATGGATCATTGAAGAAACTAACCGCTCCAGAACTTGGTGCTATTGCGGCAAAAGGAGCGCTTGAAAAATCACGTTAAGATGAACATAAGATTTTTGATATTAACTCGGTATTATTAAAAAAAAAGGTTCTCGTTTTGACTAAATTGTATTTGAAATAATTAGGTTTAAAACCTGAGCATATCGAAGAAGTATATTTCGGTAATGTCTTGCAAGCAAACATTGGCCAATCACCAGCTCGTCAGGTGGTAATTAAAGCGGGTAAAGTATATAACTTTTCGAACCAAGGGAGAAAGATGATTATTCATCGAAATTTGTAAATCTTATAACTTTTTTCTTAATTCTCGGATTTAGGTTTACCAACTTCAACTGAAGCAACAACAATCAATAAGGTTTGCGCTTCTGGTATGAAAGCTGTTATATTAGCCGCACAAAATTTAGCCCTTGGCGACCGATCTATAATGATCGCCGGTGGTATGGAGAGTATGTCTAATGCTCCGTGGGTATATTCAAAACATTTCGATCTTAGGATTTGTATTCATACTAACACCGTTAAAATGATGAATTAGATTTTACGTGTCAAGGAATGCTGCGTACGGACATCAAACCATGTTTGATGGGATTATCAAAGACGGATTATGGGACGTTTATAATCAGATACAGTACGTAATTTCTTAATCTTTACCGTGCCTTATTTAGATTTTAAGAGACTCGAACTAACGATTGTGCCTTAAATTAGCATGGTAAAGATGACGACCGATCAAATTTATTTTACTTTATTTCCTCTCCTTTTTGATAAGTATTTCCTGGATATTTAGAATCATTGAATCTTTTTTATAGGGTAACTGTGCAGAAAACACGGCTAAAAAATATAATATTTCAAGAGAAGTTCAAGACGAACATGCTATCGAGTCATATAAACGTGCTGCAGAAGCTTGGAAGGTATGCATATATCATGTATTAAAAAATCTTATTATTTCATAACTTATGTTAACGTATACTATAAATTAGAACGGTGTTTTCAAAAACGAGGTTATTCCTGTTGAAATTAATGAACGAGGAAAAATTGTCGTCATTGATGAAGATGAGGAATATAAGAATGTCAAATTCGAAAAGATTAAAACTTTGAAAACGGTCTTTCAAAAAGATGGTATTCGGTCGTCGTATTTTTTTCTTTGCTTTAATATTTTTATTTGAAAGCGATTGATGATTATTAAACGAATTTCGATTATCTGTGAAAAGGCACGGTCACCGCTGCTAACTCGTCAACCCTTAATGATGGTGCAAGTGCTTTAACACTTGCAACTCGTTCAAAAGCCGATGAACTTGGTCTAAAACCTTTGGCCAGGATAGTTTGTATGTTATTTAATTTTTAGCAACTTTTTTGAATTTGAAATCGCGAAAAAAAGTTTTTAAACCTTTTTTTTCCTTTTTTAATCATAGCATACGGTGATGCAGCAGTTGATCCAATTGACTTCACAATCGCTCCATCTCAAGCACTTCCGGTAGCGCTGAAAAAAGCCGGATTATCAATTTCTGATATTAGTTTATTTGAATTCAATGAAGCATTTAGCGTTGTAGGTCGCGTGAATGAACAAATTTTAGGATTAGATCCTTCCAAGGTTAATATTGCTGGTGGTGCTGTTGCCTTGGGACATCCCATCGGTAGTTCAGGTTCTCGTATTCTCGTTACCTTGATACATTTACTTAAACCTGGTCAATTGGGTGCCGCAGCCATTTGCAATGGTGGTGGTGCTGCTTCTTCAATCATTATCGAACGAATTTAAAAAAAAAAAAAAAAGATTTATTTGTATTTAAACCAATGCTTTTTTTTATAGACTAAAATTATTGTAAGAGTTTATTAAAAATTTTTAATAAACATAATTTCATTCACGTGATCTGTGCTACAATAGAAAATCTAAAATGTTATAAAAAGCTCAAAAATCTCCTTTTTTGTTATTTTTGAGGAATTCTCACAGAAAATAATTTAAACCTGTTGAGATTTAGCCAATTCTGAGTTTTTTTTTTTTTTTTTTTTTTAAAAAAAAAAAAAAAAAAAAGCAATGATTAAAAATATTATATAGAATTCCTCTAGAGGATTTTGTTTTAAAAAATTTAAAATTAAAATTGGCAGTGATGATTCTGTAAAAGGTTTGACATTTTCTTAGTTAAGAAAATATATGATTACAAACTTCTGAGACCTCTCCTCTTCCTTGAAAAACATTATCCTGATCCGGGTTTTTTATATATATCTTGGGGTTGAGAGGGTCTGAGCCAATTTAAATGGATTATTATTATTATGTTTATATTTTATATTTCAACTATTATTTCAATGTAAATAAAAAGATTAAAAATATGAAATTATTTTTGTTAAGATCAGATAAGATCGTATATGAGACTTAAATTCTTTTCTAAAATTATTTCTTAACTCAAAAAAAACACGTTCGCAAGAACTATATTTATTCATTTTTAGACGTCAAATCAATGATGTGCCATCAGGTAAATCAACTTGAAAATAATGTGAATCCGATCGGGATCGGAATCTGAAAGCTACTTTTCTCCTATATCATAAATTTAAATGAGAATGCTGTATGTAATTCACCAGTTCTCGATATATTGGTTTCTTCAATTGGAAAAGTTGAATTGCTACTAACCTCCCTTCTTTCGAGCATAAGATAAATTTATAAATATGCTTATTTTATCTCATATCAAGTGTTATTAATCCCAATTAAGATGTGTTCGCATGAAAAATAATTTAGGGTTAATTTTCTTCATTTTCACTCGAGGTGGTTGTATCGTCGCCAATTTCGTGGCGGTTAGTATTTACGAAAAGTTCATCAGAATTCGTATCTTGTCTAAAATTATAAAGAATGAATTTTATTGAAAGAAATTCCATCAATTAAAAATTTCGGAAGTTTACCTTGAATTTTCCTCTTCTTGATTTTCAAACCCTTGAGGCCTATCAAAAAATTACGTACGGATTGTATATTTTTTAAAAAGAATGCGAGAAAAAAAAAAATTTATTTGCTTACCATATTTCTTGATATTTTAAATGTTTAATATGATCGGAAAATAATACGTGTTCAATTTCTCCTCCAACTTTGCCTACACGCTCAGTAGTTTCCTCGATTGGGTTTATAATGACATAATTTCCTAAAAAAAAAAAAAAAAAAAAAGGAAAGATCATATTTTATGAAAAAAAAAAAAATTACAATAACGAATGAGATATAAAGGATACTTTACCTCGTTTCACCCATATGAGATTACGAAATTTTGGTGGTAAGATACATAACGTCGTATTACCATCAGAGAATTGTATTTCAAAAAGATTTTTACCACGTCCATTCAACACTCTAGCTATTTTTTGTTTTTCGGTGGGAATCGGAATTTTGTTTAATAAATTATTCGTAGTTTTTTGTTTTCGTCCCATTATTATTTACTATTATTTATTTTTTTTTTTTTTTCGAGAAAAAATTCAAATTCGATCTTTACTAAATGTAGTCATAAATAGACATTCGTTACATAATTTAGAGTCATAATCACATGATAAATTACAATTTTATTAATATAAAAGCAACCAGAATCATTCGACACTCAATTTTTCTATCTAAAAAAAATTTTACAATTCAAAACGATGTCAGGTAGTAGAAATTCATTTTTTTGTTTTGTTTGTTAATGAGATCGGTGGAATTATTTAAATTGATTTTACGTGTTTTTTATCTTCCCCAGGAATAGATCCTTCCTCCGATCATGTTTCTTCATTGGAGACTTCATCAACAGATATGGTGGGCGGTCCAACGGCTGGAGACAAGTATGAAGATGCAAGACATTTAAATTATGGTCAATCAAAAAGTTCAGAATCAGAAGATTTAAAATCGTATGTTCTTTTGTCGTTCAATCCTTTAACACTATTTTAAACACGTTAATTTTTTTAACATATTCCTTTTTTTATTTATTAGTAGCCCTCGTCCTGTGCCAATTCGTCGTCATTCTATATCATCGGATTCAAAACCTGTAACGGTGCATACATTTCATGAACAGATTCTCAGTGGAATGACAGGTGATGATTTAATTAAAATGGAAGAGGAAAAGGAGAAACGGAGAAAAGAAAAAGAAAAAGAAAAAGAAAAAGAACAAGGTCAAAAAAGAAAGACATGAAAGATACCGTCATTTATATAAATTAGTCATTATTATATAGTTGTTTGTGATGATTGGAAAAAAACAAATAGCTACAATCAAATAACATTTCAAATCTATTGTGCAAATTACAAATAAATGTCTGCTCTCTAAATTTTATCCTTCGCAATATCATGATCCTGAGCCCTACTTGTAAAAAGATTGCGGTCTAAGAAAAATTTCGATTTAAAATATTTCTAGATCTTAGTCATCTCGATAGACCTATATTTATATATATTATCTATTTATAGGTATTTCTAAAATGAGCCTTAGAATCATCGGCAAGTAATTTCTGAAATATGATCATCAAGACGAATATCGAGATGGCTGAATGATGGGCAAATAATTTTGTCGAATTACCGGATCCGGATCCGAATAAGATTACGAAAATGAAAATTGTTACACTTGTTAAAAAAAAAAAAAAAAAAAAAAAAAAAAGAGAAAAAGTATTTAAAACAAAGAACCCTATATTGGGATGAATGATTAGAAGTTGAAATAACATGGTTTTCATAAAAAAAAAAAAAAAAATTTGTTTCACAAAAAAAAAAAAAAAAAAAGCTATTATTTTGCCCGTTACACGCACAACGTTTTTGTGATTTTTTAAACAAAAAAGTACGATTTTTGAGTTTATTTGGCGGTTCCCATCATCTTCATAGACCAAACTGTTCGCGACGCGATTTCGATTGTAACAAATATAAAATATTCCATTGAGAAAAAATGCTTTAATATAAGTCTAAAGGTTGTGGAGTTTTTTTTTCAGTTTTTAGCCCCAGTTTCTCAATGGAAAATCTTTGGAATTATTAATTTTCAATATAAATATGATCAACCATTTAGAAACAAAGCACATGGTTTACGTCATTTAACCACTATATTAAGAAAAATTTGGTATATGGTAAAACAAATTTTGCATATGGTAAAATTTATTTTAATTTTTTTTATCTTTATTTAAGAATAAAAATTACATTTGGCGAATCTTCTTTCTCCATTCCCACACATTTTCCTACTACGCCAAATCAGAGTTAGTGTACACAATTTGTGTAACAATAAATTAAATACAAAAAGTGATTTGCCCAAGTGTCATAAGTTACCACGAGCGAAGAACGCTTACCAACTTGAAATTTACCAATGACAACGTCCTCTCCTCGCAGAATCCCCCGTAGACGAGATTCTTCGAGACAAGCTGCCTTCACTTTTCTTACAAATATCAGCCTTGGAACTGAATCTTCCTATCCACCAAGTAATTCTCGGGCAACGGCTGCTCCCAGCCACTCTGTTCCCAGCCCTTTTCAGTCATCAGACAGTTCTTTGAATACTGATACCTTTGAAAACCAACCACCACCACCTTCAATAACTCTCAGGGATCATGATACTGTCAGCGGTAACAGTAAGCCAAGCTTGCAAATCAATACAAGGAAAACGTCAATCCCATACGAGAGAGTACCTAAAAAATCGGGAGGAAATTATGTTCTTTCCCCAAGTTCAAAAACTGCCAATAATAACAACATATTTAAAACGAAAACTTCCCCCATAGACTATAATGAAGAATTTTATGATTTTGATCGTGAAAGAAGCAATAGTCATCGCGAGGACTCCGCGACGAGTTTCTTGGCAAACATCAGTCTTGATCCTAAAAGATCAAAACCTTATCACCCTTCAAGAGAGAACTTGACAAGTCCGATTAAGGAAAAAATTGCAATCCTAGAAGCTAGTGATAACTTGATCCCCGAGATTGATGATAACCAAGTAAATATAATAGATAGTTTATCACTTGGAGAAATTAAAAAATCCAGTCGAAGAAGTTCAGGTTGGTTATCGGGAAATTGCATTATTATTATTTCGATTGATTATTCTTTTTCAATTTTTAATAAAATAATTATCAGGATGAGGGAATGTAATTTTAAACAAAAAATTATGTTTATTTATTTGAACTCTTTTATTTTATTATTTTTTTTCCCTTCTTTTTTTTCTTTTTTTTCTTTTTAATCGAATTACTTTATCTGTTTTTTAAATGTGTTTTATTGATACCAAAATCTGGTAAAAAAAAAAAAAAAAAAATTATCTAACGATTGATGATACCAAAATCAAATGAATTTGAAATGATGTCGTAAATTAGCATCCACCTCGAAATCCGATACGAGCTCATCATCTGCCAATTCTACCACTCCTCATCCTTCTCCTACAAATGAAAAATCTGTTTCTCATTATAAATCTCAACATCGCCGCCATTCTCCAATTTTAAGTCCTAACTCTCTAAATAAACCCAATGTTAATGATAATCGTAAACAAAATAATGCTAATAATTCGGTGAGTCTAGGAACTTAATCATCGCCCTCCAAAAATTATTGTACATAAGAAAAAATTTTCTAACTTTATTGTAATGTATATTATCGAAAGTCTTCGTTGGGACTTTTTTCAATATGGGGGGGATATGATAAGAAATTTAAGCAAAAAAATCGTCAAGATCAGATGTGCGTATAATTTCATTTTTCGGGGAATTTCTGATTTGTTCATCAGTATAGTTCCTGTGATTGACTTTTTTTTTTTTAATTGTTGATTGCGATTTCAGGAAACAACCTGCGGATTTGGAGATCATAAAGAGACGAAAAGTGAGTGATAAAGAACTTTATTTAAAAGTAGAATCTTTCTCACTTTTGATTGAAATTCACAAAAAAAAAAAAAAAATTTTCAAAAATTTCAGGCCGAATCCTTTGCACATCTCTTAGTGCCCAGCCATTCATTAGGGTGAATATAATATACTACTATTTACTTTAAGGCATTCGATTTTCATCCCCCTTTTTTTTGGTATATTAAAATCACGTGTTCATATTATTAATCAAGTCCAGAGGAGAGTTTTGGGAAATATGATCCAACCTACCTTGATGATCCAAAGATAAAAATAGAAAAACCTCCGGTCAACGAAGTTCAAGTCAGCAGGCCGACTAAACATCGAACCGTACTAAGTTTGTCGGGTCTTATGGTATATTTAATTAAAGTTTAATTTGAATCAATCGCACGTTAGAGTGATGTTTGCGTTTATTAATTCATGCCTTCATATCTTAGGGTTCGTTGATGCATCATCATAATAACCGCCCATCTGATTTGAAGCGTGAATCGAATACATTGTTTCGTCAATTACATCCAGAGGTTGATTCAACTTTAACGTTAAGTCAAATTAGAAAAATTAAGCTGAAACTGTTGAATGTGGCAAGAAATGAGGTTGATCTCGAAAATCATTCGTTGTCAATCATCGTGTCGAAGCCAAACGCTAATCATTTTTTTTTTAAATTTAGGATTTGGACTTGGAACTTTCGACTATTGCAAAGGCGTATGCTTATTTTGAGAAGTTAATTTTAAAGGTAGGATCGATAAAATCATTGGTCTTTTGTAGTGAGATCTCTATAACGTAACTAACATCAAGAATTTGTTTATAGAAATTGGTGAATAAGGCCAATCGTAGATTAATCGGGGGTATGTTTAGTTTTACGTAAAATAAAAACATTATTAATTTTTTTTTTTTTAAATCTATTCAACTAATTGATTATGATTTCTTTTAGCGATATGTTTGTTACTTGCAAGTAAAGTAAATGAACCTATGGGAATGTCATATTCACCGTTGTTAGAGGTGAGTCAAAAGTTTTCTTTTACTACGTATCATGATTTTAGACGAAAGCAATCATTTAATTCTAATCAATAGCTCTTTACCTTTCTATATCGTTACCCTTAACAAACATAGGCATTACATAAAAATTTAGATGTGACAATAAAAGACATAACGGATAAAGAATTTTCTGTTTTTGCGAATCTGGATTTTGAGCTTTATCTATCTACACAGGAATTCATGCCGCATTTCGATCGGTTATTTCAAACGTTAGGTAACTAATCATCAATTTTTGTTTTCTATTGAAACTTCTCTTTTAATTAATACAACTTTTTTTTTTTTCCAATAATCAAATAGATTATAATAACAAAGAAGAATATTTAGGGAATAACCCATTTTATGAATTTCATCTTATAGGAAATTCTTTACCGCAAAGTTGACAATTACAGAAATAATAATGTTGTACGAAAGGATTCAAATATTAAATAATTTTGAAAATATATTCATTATAATATTATATTATCTTTTAGGATCATTTTTAACGTTTTTTTTTCTCGCTTAAAAAAAATTCAAATTCAATTATAATTAAATAAAATTTTGGATAACTTATTGCTATAGTTTCTTTCTTTTTTTTTTTTTTTACAAAAAAAAAAAAAAAGAACTTGATAATTGCTTCCTGCGAATTAAACCATTATCTATTATTTTATATTATCTTTTTCAATTGTATTTAATATGATTCAAGAAGCAAGGACGTACTTATGATATCTCAACCCCTGATGAGACACAACTCAAAGAACGCCTTTATGATTTTATTGTGCACCTCAACCTGAGAAGTCTACGGTCTCATTAGGTTTCACAAATTAAACACTCGAGAAAAATATTGTCTGTAACATTTAAAAGGTATAATAATAACCAATAACTTAATTTTTATTTTGACCCATTTCAATTGATAAGAAAGATTATCTATTCAATTATTGAATTTCTACAATTTTATAATCATCGTCATCTTCATCGTCAGGTTCCTCGTCTCTCATTAACATATTAACAATCTGTACTATAACATCTCCAACTTTTTCATCTTTCTCTACAAGATGCATTTGTCGAATTACTGGATACACTTTTTTCTGTCGAAGTATATCACGTCCTTGCCTAGTTGTTGTTAAGAGTAGGAGGGATTCTAACAAAGTTCGTTTAAGATACGAATCAAGTTCGCGTTTCTAATAATGTAAGGATCGTATGAATGAATTGAATTTCCTTTTTTTTTTTTTTTAAAAAAAAAAAGAAATTTATAAATTACCTTATCAGAAGACAAGAGTTGAATATCATCAGGCATTCCTTCCATATCCTAATACATCATTAAATGTAAATTTTAATAATAAGTTGATTTATGGTAATTTCAGTTTTTTTTTCAAACTCACATCCGTATCGAATTCTTCGGGTCCGCATAAAGGCAAAAGGATATATGGCAGCACATTTATCTTATCCTCTGACAACATATCAAGGTGACGTTCCGTTGCAAAACAACAATTTCTGCCCATAACAAAAAGGAGTTAGTTAAACATGAATGAACGCGCGGTGCCATAATTCATTGTTTAACGAAACTCGTATTACTTTATACAAGACACGACGCCACCTCTTCGAATTATGTTTGGATGTTCAGTGAAAACTATCAGCTTTGATAATGGCGTTACATTTTCGGATGATGATGCATTGCTCAAAAAAAAGTCCCGACCTTGAGGTAACTATTTATCATAGAAAAATGATGAGATGAAATGAAATACAAAAAAAGAAAAAAGTCAAACAAATTTGTCATACCATCGTCACATTCGCGAATACGCTAGCCAAAAAATGAAATTCTGCTTCCTTGTTATATTTCTTTTCGAAACCTCGGACAAAAACATCAGTCAATTGGCCAATCGTTTGTGATGAGTTGGACAAATCTTTTATCGGTCGAACCTTTAAAGACAAAAGTTTTGCAGCAACGGTTTCATCCTTTGTAATATTTGATAGAAGCATACATGCCATGTCGGCGAGGACTGAATCTCGATTCTATAATTTTTCGTAGCATTTCGTAGATTTTTTTTTACTTGACACCGAAAATTATCAAAATTTGACGGGCGCAAACAAAAAAAAAAAAAACTTTTTTTTTATCAATACCGTTATCGTCCTTGTTAAATATTTTAAAAAGTTCTCATTATTGAAAATCCTACGAATCTCTTCGTCGGCGGTAAGGTTAACGAGAGCTTTATAAGCATTATGAGCGGTGACCTAAAATTTTAAATGTTGAAATGATCTAATTTCAAGATCAATTAATTATTGATTTGATTTTTCAATCGAAAATAGTTTCTTACTGTTTCATCATTACAAAGAGTTATTAAATCTCTTATTGGTTTCATATTTTCACGTTTGAATAAGTGTTGAAGCTTGGAGGTACTATCTGTATACCTCAATAAATTTTCAAGCGCAACTTGACGTACCTAATTACAACGTTGATTGATTAAATGATTTGGAATTGTGTTTTTGCATGATTTCTAATAATTCTCTCACTTACATTTGGATGATCTTCATGTAAAAAGTCCAATAGCTTATGATCAAATTAATCAATACAATTTCAGCAAAAAAAAGAGATTTTTAATTCGTGCTAAGAAAACTCTCTTACCGAAGTTACTAATTCAGTTTCTTTTTCCATCGTACGATTATCACGTCGATTGACGACAAAAACAAAAAAAAAAAAAAAAATAGGGTAAAAATAAAAAACCAATTAAGTTGATTATCGATCTTACACATCACCCAAGATGGAAATCACTATGAATCACTCCGCGAGAAAACAACTTTGTAATACCTCAATCAAAATCTTCGAATATGAATTGTAACTTATAGGATTTGAACCCGATTACTTTGCTTTCTAATTTTTTTTCGTCAGAATTTTTTTCCTTTACACCAAGGCGATCGATCAATCAAGATAACGATTTTTTTTTTTAATTTATATCGTCTTACAACGTATATGGTAACAAAATGACTTGCTCACACTGTGGAGAGAACAGAATCGAATATGATACCGCTGCTGGGCATGCATTTTGTCCAAAATGTGGTTTTGTATGTAGAATTGAAGAAAAATTCTTTTATTATTTTTCGTCCCAACGATTAGTTTAATTGATAAACATATGAATTTTTCAAGGTTGTCGAGGAGAGTAAGATCGTATCTGAAGTTACTTTTGGAGAGAGCGCGTCAGGCGCCGCAATTTTACAAGGATCATACGTTGGAGCTGACCAAAGTAAATTCTCTCCATTTCCCTTGGAAAATTTCTGATTTTGTATCCTCCTTTACTAAAGATATATAAAATTTTTTGCTGATATTGAAATATCAGGAAGGGCTAGATCCGCTGGTCCTTATCGTCGACATTCAAGCTTGGACTCAAGAGAACAAACCAT